CTTCACTGTGGATGTGCTGCGTGCCCCCTCCCCCCGCCATTGCCTCCGTCACCATCACCGCCTCCTCGCCCAGCTGGTAGAGGTTAGTACCACTTACCGGCCCGCCCACCATGCCGCTCTCCTCCACTGACACGCTGACTGTACTGACGGGCGTACAGGCCCACCAATGAGGCAGGAGCATTCTGCACCAAAGGTGGTACTAACGACTGCTTGTGTTACCAGTTGCTTATGTCTAAAACATAACGATACCAGTAATACTCGCTAACTTTGTTTAGCTAGCAAAGGTAAGTGCCACAAAATTTTTTAAAAGATTAACTGAGGTGATTAAGCATGATAGACTAAACAGAAGAATCATTTGAGTGATGACCTTGATGTGACCAACTGAAAAATGCACACAGACAGACAGAAATTTGTCTGTCTGTGTTGTATAGCATTTCGCCGCCCTCTTTGACTAGATGTTCGGTCGTTTGGTGCGTGATAACAGAGCCCTTTCCAGCTGATAAATAACATGTAGTGTCAGGCTTTTCCTGCCCATTGTGAGGTGGACTTCCTCTCTGTCACTTCCTCATCTCCTCTCTAAACTTCCTGAGCACGAGTTTCCTGTTTGCCACGTCGGTCCCCTCGCATCAGTTCCCTGACATCTTGCGGATTCCTGTTTTCGGCGGCAGTTTTCTGGTCCCATGCTTCCTGTTCGTGACTCTGTCCGCCCTCTCAGTTCCATGACAAGATGGACCCTCTCCTGGAGTCCCTAGAGGCGGCGGTCCAGCGCCTGAGACAGCCCCCTCCTGTTGCGGCAGAGGTGGAGAAGATCCGGGAGCAGCTGGGGGAGCACCGTGCCTCGGGCCTGGAGCTGGACAAGCTGCTGCCCTCGTTCAGTGCCCTGTGTGCCCGCGGCGAGGAGCTGATGGCCCGTGCTTCACCGGATGACCCAGCAGCGCAGGGTGAGGCGTCACTACACTCACACCACACCGGTTCACAATGCATGCTTTTGTTACCAGTGTCCATAAGGCGGTTCATAAAGCCAGTTTGGTGTCTTTGTGCTACCCATAGTCATTAGAGTAAAGCAGCCCCTAGATGGCCACGCCCATAAATACAAACCACACCCCAGGCAGCATGTCCATCGGTACAAAGCACACCTCCAAATGCCTGCCCATCTGTATAAACCAGATCTCCAAATGCCACGCCCATCAGCGCAAACCACACCCCAGG